GGGGGGGGGGGGGGGGGGGGGGGGGGGGTACGTCCGCCCCACTCCCGAAACCATCGTACCAACGCATTTTGTACACTCTGAAAATATAAGGGTGCGAAAACAAATGCCCGCAGACTTGTAAGGCAAGTCGAAGAAACAATCAGGCAGCAGCCACTCTGCACTAAAAACAACCAACATACCCACTGCGCTGGTTTTTACATTGTAGTCCGCCAACTCGACGACCTCTTCGTCATCACTCCGGTTTTCTGGTTGACAGCACCGACGCGTGCTGAGGTACATGTCGACCGTAAGGTTCATGTGTCGTCTCGTGACGACTTTCATCAAGTGGCCGCGCGCGTAACGCTTCAGTCAGATGATGCTGCTCACACAGATATCAGCGGGAGTTGATGACAGAGTAGTCCGGACAGCCCTCCAAACAACGACATCCTCGTGTGCGATACCAAACCTTCACCTCACCCCGCACATGAGAGCCAAAACAAGCTGCGCTGATCTGTCGCATGATCGAGTAAGACCTCAATTGATACTCAAGCGTGACGTGCATAAGTTTATATCTCTTCTTGGTCTTCACCAACATAAAAAAATACAATCACGTTTATCCGTGGACGGAAGACAACAGACAACAGCACTCGTGTTGCATGACCTAAGCAAAGTACATAGCAACGCGGCTAATGCGACAAAAAGAGGAAGAAAACAAATTGCGGCCCGCTGTTGAGATGACTTTAAAATTTCACTCCTGTACAACTACATTTTGATTCCTGGAAGAGGTGCTGCACCCTTTTCCAAATGACTTGGTTGGCCTGCGACAACGACGCGAAGGCGTCTACGGCAGTTGGACTGGGACGGAGAAGGGTTCTGAGCAGACACCGGCCTTCACAGTGTGAAGCCAGCAACAATATCCAGCTGCGATAAGAACATATACATGCAGCTAGCATGATGCTATGTAGCCGTTGCGGGCGGTAGGTCAGGGATTGGGATGGGACCGGGTACTGAGTGTAGACAGCGGTTTCATGGTGTCAAGACAACAACAATAAACCCAGCTGCGACGAGGGTATCTGAAGAATATGCTTCAAATGCATGCGCAGCATGATGCCATGTAGCCGTTGCGGGCGGTGGAGCGGTCCGCCTCAGGGAAGTAAGCGACGCGTATTGTACGCACACGAGGAGTCCACCGACGAGAAATTCCGTGTGAAAACGGAGACAACAGCAGATGCCGGCACAGCCGGATCCATTCATTCTGTCATCACATTTGCCCTTGGCACCATCGCTTCATGTGCGTGCCCAGTTTTTATCGTGTGGCGGAGTCCGGCGGCCCTGCTACTACATGTGGTTTTGTTGTTGAGGTTGTTTCTCACACTAGCTCTTTCGTCCACAAAGTATGTGGTGTACATGCTCTCTGCTCACGGAGAAGAAAGCCCGCCAGTCCAGCATCCACATGCTGCGGAAATGTGGTACTACCACAGCAGCAGTTGGTCGAGAGATGCATATACCATACATGCACACGAAAATGAACACGTGGTGGGTCACGTGCTATCTGCAAGCAGGTGCGGTACTGCCTGTACAGCACCTGATCTGTGTATCTGTGCATGCACTCTATCTGCTGTGTGATCTGTACAAGTATTCTACTTCTTGCACAAAAAAAAAAGCAGCCTATCCGACGATTGAAGAATATCGGAATTTCGCGCTATTTCGGCTGGTGGTAGGATACAAGTTCATGAGTACTGCAGTACATGTCTGCCCGATCGAGTCAACAAAGTGGTTGGTCGGTGCTGCTTGAAACCCCGCCCACCTCACAGTGAAGTACACCAACAAGTTGTCCATGACTCCACCCATTTGAGAGCAGTCTATGATAAAGAGAATGCCAACAGGACAAGCGATTCTGCACCGACAACCATAGACTTATGTGCTAAATCGATCTCACCTTTGGATCGGCTGCGTCACGCTGATCACAAACACCGGGTAAGGCGGAAAGCCCGGGTCCCTGACCACTCCATGTCCGGCTAGCTCAACCGCAAACATGGGTGTGCAGCGTCCGCTCGGCCGATGTCAAACCAACGCGCAGCGTCTTATCTCCAGCCTACTGCTACTCCTCCTGTTGCTGCTGCTGACCACGGCGCCTAGCGCACCCACCCCACTGGCGCCAGGCCCGCTTTTCCAGTACAGCCTTGAATTCCTCCCTGTACGCTTGGCAGCAGCGCCTCTCTGCTGCTCTCTGCTGCTCTCCGACCCAACAAGCCTGATGTTGCTGTCAGAAACAAGATCCGCCGAAGGTCGCCTGCCACGTAGACTATCCGAGTTAGACTGCTGCTGTTGTTGCGAAGTTCGCGAACGAAAGAACACTAGAAAAATCGGAAAAAAAAAAACACCCAAGCGATCGCTACCGTCCCACTTCGGGCACCAAGAAGCGCGGAGGTTAACGGGTTGCAGGGGCACCGACATGGCCCACGTGCCAAAACAGAAATGAAACACGCGCTCAGGTTCCCTCTCTCCAAGTCGGCATGGCTTTCAACCTCAGCGCGGGCCCGTAACCTCATCGGCAAAAGGCTCCGGCTGTGTGCGCGGGCCACAGGACAAAATTGAACAGCATCTGCTACCTATTTAGATATTATGATGGCTGCGTGCCTCGCTTGTTGTGTGCGGACACACAACACGAAGGGGCTAGCAGAAAGAGAGGGGTCGAGACGGAGAGACAGGGGGGAAGATGAAGGGTCCATGGGTGGCGTTGCAGTGTGTCGCAGCGAAGCGACTCGGTGGTCGGTCGGTGTCGGCGTCAGCAGTGCTTGCGGCGCGTCATGGCGTGAGACTCGATGGCTGAAGCTCGCTTTTTCCGATCTCTCATTGGGAGGGTTGGAGAGAGGGATACACATGATGAGAGCAGAGAGAAAATGACCGAGGCAGAGAGCGTGGGTAGTTTGCGCGACAAAAAAACGAGGAAAAGCAAATTACGCACCCAACGTTGCTGGGTGTGCGTGCGTGACCAACGTCGCTGTTGGCACAGACGCAAGGGAGACAGATGGACCGGTACAAGTCTCGTAGAGGCTTTTGTGTTCAGTGTGCGTGCAGGCACGCTACAACACCGCCTCGGGTGCTGCTGAGCTCAAAACACAAGCCCAAAATTTATCTTTGTAGCGCACTCGCATTCTTTTGGATTCGCCGTGGATGATCTCACCGCGGGGGTTCCCTCACCGTCTGTGGCAACCTTGCGTTGTTCCTGTGAGCGCTCCTCCGGCGAGAGCGTGCCAGGCAGGGTGGCTCTCTCTCCTGCTGCGGGCTGATCACCGGGTGTTTTAGGGATCAAAGACTCAAAAAACACGGGTGCCGCGCGTTTTGAGAAAAAACGCCTCCGCAAAAAAACATTTGACGCGCAATGACCGTGGGAGATTTATCCCCTATGGGTGGTGGTCGCAAGCATGTTTAGGAAGAAACAGAGGTCGGCTGACAAGGTTTGCCTCAACAATGTTCCACACGACCAACAGAGCAAGAAACTCCCTACTTTATCTCTGTCTTGCGTTCTTCCTGACATGACAGATCTCCTTGCCGTAACTATAGTTGACAAAACTCGCTCAATGACCACCGCGGTGTGGTGCCCTTGGGCCATGATCATCGGTCGGGTGTGGCCGCGATGTGGATGTATGGCCCGCGCTGAAATCAATTAATTGACGCTTGATAGAACACCACGTGCAGTATCAAGAGCAACACCCCGAGCTTAAGCGCGAGCTGAATGCTTTGGAGCGTATGGTCCTATGTTTCGCAAAGAGAACTCACGCTAGGGGCGAATGAGCCGCGGCAGGCGGCGATCTACGAAAAAAAATGCGGCGGGATCTCTGGGATGAACGCGTTGGCTACAGCAGCAGTATCTCTCTGTCCACCGTCTTTTCTCCGGCTGGACAACGCGTGCACCATGGCCGGAAGGTGGGACGCGATGACGATCGCCAACGTCAACTCCTTCCTGGAGATGAGCGGGGCAGACAGAGAAGCCAGCGAGATCGTGAACGCCGCGGGGATAAAGATTTCGGATCCGGTGCAGGAGCCAGGATACAACCGGTGGGTATCAAGAGCAGGCACCACATACATACATACTGATGTGTGCCACGAGCGGGGGGGAGACCTCTTTATGTCAGAGCGAGTACCCCTGCTGTGTCTTCTACTTGTCGCCGGTACGAAGTTCATCCATACGGGACGCATCGCAAAATCACCAACATGATTCATCGGTGTGAACTTATCGAGAGTTCTCGGTGCTCTTTTTCCTTCCGGGAGCTGAGACCTTGTTGTCTGGAGCGACTCCGGGCCGTCACTCATCGGCAGACAAATGGCGATAGACCCCTCGAGCAAGATCAACTGGCGGAGAGGTTTGGGAAAGAACGCGCTTGTCCAGTTTGGGTGCGCTTGTTTTTGCCATCCCACCTGTACCTGGTACAAAATACTCTCTCTCCCATTGACGAATGCGCGACCATTCAGTCTGTTCTTACGCCGCCTCGCGGCATGTTTTGGACGCACCGCCGAGGTCACACAGGCGCCACACGTTCGCCGGCGGTATTTTTTTTGTTCCTCCACCCTTGCCTTTCCTTCGCCGAGCTTACCTTCGTCTTTTGCAGCGAGAAGGAATCAGCCATCCCGTTCCCTCGTGTTATTTGCGGTCCATGCACTTCATGTAATACTAACGCATCACCATGGAAGATCGCCGACGATCAAAACGTTTGGATCGTAGCAGCCGCACCCGCACAATGACAGGAAGTTTGCGTTGAGAGCCATGTCCACCAGCCATCCCTTTCCCTCGTGTTATTTGCGGTCCATGCACTTCATGTAATACTAACGCATCACCATGGAAGATCGCCGACGATCAAAACGTTTGGATCGTAGCAGCCGCACCCGCACAATGACAGGAAGTTTGCGTTGAGAGCCATGTCCACCAGCCATCCCTTTCCCTCGTGTTATTTGCGGTCCATGCACTTCATGTAATACTAACGCATCACCATGGAAGATCGCCGACGAGCAAAACGTTTGGATCGTAACAGCCGCACCCGCACATTGACAGGAAGTTTGCGTTGAGAGCCATGTCCACCAGAGACTCCTGCTGCTGTGTCCCTTGTTGTGTGTATTGTTTCTATTACAAATACGCATGACTTCAATGTGGGGTGTCGGAATGCACAACAGGTACTGCTGTAACTGGGGTTGAACCGCGCGACAAATCGTTGCGTTTTGGCAGGACGGTCGACGTGGTCAAGCTAAGGGAAGACCTGCTGCTAAAGTTGCAGAATGAGCGGTCGGAAGAAGTGAGTGGTCTGCGCGCGAAGCAAAAACAGGTGCGTGCTGCTAGCACAGAGAGAAAGATCAGATGGCACTCAAGCCCAAGATGTGTCCCTGTTTAAGATGCGAGCGCCACCTACGAGCAGAGTTGGGGTTCTTTTCTAGACCGAACGATAAGCGTCCCATTCAACGGTCCTGGGATTGCTACATCAGTTACCTTGTTTCGTGTGAGAACATCCACATGCGTTCTGAGCCTTAATCTATGCAATACATACCGAACGGATTTCCCGGCCGGGTCATCTGCAGGGCGGAACAATGTGCAGCATTCCGGGAATGTCTCGAGGGTGCCTTTCTCGTCAAACGCGCATCCATCCATAGGAAAAACTCAATTGCTCAGCACCCTGTATATGCCAAGTGGGAAAAGCTCAATGTACCCAGCTTCGTAAGTTAGGAACAGAGGCAGCAAAACCTTGAACCTAGTAGACTAAGCTCCAAGTTCATTTTTTCCAGTTTTTTCCTTGGTCTGAACAACAGATAATGTCAGATAAGAAAGGTCGTGAGGCTGAGTTGCTGGAGCTCCAGAAGGCGGAAGAGAGCCACCGCGAGCTGCTGCTGAAGGATAGAGATGAGAGAAACAAGATAGCGCAAGACCTACACTGCCTCAGGAGGTCCGTTGTAGCCAGAACGAGATGTAGACTCTCCGCATTCAAAAGGAATGCCAGGGCGAGATGTAGTCTAGACTCTCCGCATTCAACAAATGACCGCGCATTTCTCTCGTTTAACCCCTCGTATATTCACTTGCTCCCCTGGGCTTTTCATGACGAACAGACCTCGAAGCGGCCTGGCCTCATGACCAACATAGTTGATATTTGGAGCCATTCAACACCCTATCTTGCGCTAGAACGCCTTATAACTTGGGATCGGCACCACCGGCGGGTATGGTGTGGTTGAATGATATGCTGAAGTCATGTTGCTGTATTCCGTCAATGGTTCATTATGATAGATGTACCTCGAGCTTTCCATCTTGGTAAAAAATCCATTTCATGTTCGCCCAGGTCCCATCTGGTGGATATTGAGGAAGAGACGAGGCGCGAGCTCGCCTCCCTACAGCGCGAAAGAGAGCTGCTACAGGAAAAAGAGAAGAACAACGAAGCCGCAATCGACGAGGTATCTTCGAGGAACACGGTTTAAACGAGCGGAAGTTTAACGCGCCCCTCCGTTGGTTCAGCCAAGACTACCCTTTAGAACTCTCCCAGCGCGGTTCATCAACATGCAGTTTGGTTGTTAATCTTTTTCGCTTTCCGCTTTCCATCGCTCCAAGACTTTACATTGGTTCAAGGCAGTCCGCCGGTTCCACTGTAAGACGAAATTCCGTTTCCTGGGTACGCCTGGTGTTGCCGTGAAACTTCGCTGGACAGATCTTTGGAATTGCCATTGGTGGACTACATTGATTGCTATACACCACGTCGGCGGTGCCGAAGGAATGGTGAAACGGTCTCAATGGACCCAAGGCTATGTTTCTCAGTAAAGTTGGTGGCTTGTGTCTGAGGTTCCTTCGAGGCTCCCATTGACTCGTTGGTACTCCAAGAGATACGGTGCCTCATCAGCGATCTATGGCACAAAACCGCTGTCTTCACAATCGACGTCGCAGAAATCGAGACAAAGCTGCAGAATAGCATTTGCAAGCCCGACGAAGTTTGAATGCTTGCGATCGCTCTCATCAACCCCTGCTTAACTGTGACGCTCACAAGGTACGGAGGCAAATCATGGAGCAGGACGAGGTCTATCACCATGCGATGGATGCAGCGAGGAGCAAGATCAAGACCGGGAGAAACGGGGTCGACCAAGATGGTCGCCCGATGGCCGACACCGTCAGGAGTCAGCGTCAGGCCATTCAATCTGAACAGGCACGACACTTACTGAAAAAGGAGCATTTGTGGTCTCTTCAAGATGGTGTAGACATCTGCGGGGCTTGGAGGCATCGTTTTTGTTACAAACATGCATTCCTGACTGGATTATTTCAAAGCGTTCGAGGCTCACGAACACGCGGGACTTGTCAAGAATTGTTCTCTGAGGGATCTCGTCTACTTTTCCTTGAAGTTTCGTACTCGTGTCAGTGTTGTGGCCGCCACCTCCTTGCCAAAGGAGAATCTTCGTGCCAGAGGAAGGCATGGGTGTTTTCTTGACGACAATGCTACCAAGACGAGGAAAGGTCACAGGGGGGTGGGGGTGACTACTCTTATGCCATGTTCCGGAGGGCTGACCGGTACGGTAATGCGGTCTGTCGTAGATTGTACCTCTTTCTTTGCTGTTCGGTTCTGCAAGCGCTCGTCACGTAAGAAAACGAAGGCTTGCGCTGTTTGGGAAGACATGGCTTGGATTTCTTCCAATCGTCCGTTAAGGTCGTGTTTTGTGCAGTCGGGCCGGCCACGTTGCCTTCTTGCCGTGTATTGTGTTGGAAAACACAGGCGCATACATCAATAACAACACGGTAGTAAATTCCCTTGAAGCATGGGTTCACTGGCAAGGCAAGGGGTTGATTTCAGCGTTCGCACATAAACTCGATACACAATATTAAACGTGAGCTGTAGAACCCTGGGTTCTAGGGTTAGGGTTAGGGTTAGGGCTAGGGCTAGGGTTGTCGCCCAAAGGTGATGAGCAACTTGGCTGTTAACAAGAGGGGGCAACGTGCTCGTGGCGTCCTTCCTCAGGTGGCAATAGCAGAGGTGTACGGGAAGAGGGCGGGGACGCTACAAGAGGAGCAGACGCGGCTCCAGCACGAGATACAGAACGTCGACGAGAGAATCCAGAAGGCGCGGGAAAATGGTACGGGTCGTTTCAAACGCGATTCCTCGAAACTTTGATATTGTGGGTGGCTCCGGGTGGCTTAAGATGAGCGCATCTTGCAAGAAGACTAATTCGGACAATATCGACAACAGGCCAGATTTCGAAGTCCTTTGTAGGAACATTATTCGAAGGCTATTTCGAAATCTCCATTTGTTAAAACAATCCCGCAGGAAGTCGGAAAATGTTTGCTGGGTTTTCGAACGACCAACAATTAGAACAACCAGTCCACGTTCTTGAGACAATGAGAACGGAAACAAGTTGCGAAATTTTCTCAAAGAATTCCAATACATTTTGCTGCCTTGGCCTGAGAGCTGTCAATTTTTCGTTTTTGTTGCCACGAGTTTAAAGATTCGGCGTACGCCTTTGCCCCCTATCAACTCCTTCGCCTCCCCGGCGCCCGGGTATGTTGCCCATGGCTCGTCGGTGTCACCTTACCACATCCAAACCCCTGCTTTTCAGGCCTTGCTCCGGCGAAGGGAGCGGACGACGCGCTGGCGGCTCTGATGACTGAGGCGGGGATGGAAGAGCAAGCAACCCGCTTGCGTAGACTGAAGGTGTGGTGTGTTGGTAAAGACGTTCGGAAACGTAGTTCTCAGTGGTCATGTATTGTACACGATGCCTTGTACCGTTGTCGGCGGGGTTGGCGGAGCAAGTGGCCCGCCAGCGAAGACTCCAGGTTGACGTGTGTTGGTGAAGGTGTCGGATACTTGCCTCTCGGGTGTAGGTAGGACGTCTTGTACAGTCAGTCGTTCTTGGTGCACGCGCCTATCCCGCGTTGACAGAAGGGTTGGACGGGTGGCACCGCGTAGTGTACCGTTTGTTCACACAAGGGGTACGGTCTATCGCACGGCTCGTGTCCAGTCGTCTTCTTCTGTTCGTTCGTGGTGGCATGAACCCGCCCGCTGATTATATATAGGCCTCTTCTTCATGCCGCGAATACCCGTCTAATTGTCCGCTTTTGCAACTCGTAACCCCGCCTTAGAGTCTCAGTTTTAACCCGTGCCTTCCCTAGACGTGCCCGTGCTTCGTCTTGAAATGTTCTCTTGAGTGCAGCATCCGCCTACCTACTTGGCGGGAATTAGCCAAGATGCCGAGTGATCGCATGCTTGCGACGAAATCCGTACCTGTCTGACAAGGGAGGGGGCCTTATGGATGGAGATGTTATTATCCCCGTGGTCTCTATTTAGACTTTGTTTCCGACCGAGAGTAGTTGGTTGTGGTGGACTCCGAGAGGCTCGCGGATGCCTGGACTTGGCGTCAGCTGTACTGGGGAAAGGGCCTCATCTCTTTCTCCCGCTCAACTCGATGGAAACGGTTTTGGTTTTTGTCGCGTCGGCGTGTTTGAGGTTCGATTCCCCGACAAAGGTGAATCAGACCTTCCCCGTGTTCATGGAATTCCCCGGTTTCCCGTCCGCCCCTGTGGCGCACGCAGGGCGACTTCGAGAAGCAGCACGCCGAGGACATCAGCGGTGCTTTTCTCAAAGACTATGAAGGGGCGGAAGCGAAGACCCGGAAGGCACTCAAGAATAGCGCAAAGGTCCGTTCCCACGTAGTGCTCGTTCTAGCCTTCCGTAATACCCGTGGCAGTTCCACGGGATAAACCCGATTGAGCTCGGAGGTACAAGACGAACAATCCAACACTGTTTTCGGTGGCCATAAAACCAACCAAATAGCTCTGTTGTTCGACGCACGGCCGAAACACCTGTACACGCGTCGGCGTGCAGAGGGGATTTTCGGAACCCTGTGTGCGTAGGCAAAACATGGCACCGGATACACTCCGGCCCAAACACGAATGCGGGGAAATTGTTGCTCATTTTTCGTCGAGTGAAGCGTGCGGGCATCACCTGTGCCTTTGGTATTGAACTGCAAGCCCGTGTGTGGGTGAGTGGGGGGGAGTGGCATGGCCGGACAGAGAATACACCCCGACCGATGTAGTATGGGCACAGAAATACACGAGATTTGTTGTCCTGATTGGTGAATTTTGATTAACATCTTTGATTATTTCAACTCGACCGTGGATCGACCCTGTCGCAAACCACACAGCCGGTAGGATGCCGCGACCTTCACAGCAGTAGTCGCTGAGGCGGTTGTGACCACAATCTTCAGGGAGTGGGGGTGTCAAAAAAAACGAAAATGCGACATACACTAACGTCATCGCCAAGATGTTTTCCCACGACTCTGACCCGCTTGAGGCTATCACGAATACAACTGTGTCCTCCCGAACAGCTTTCCGCACGGTGGTGGTAGAGAGGCTAAGTACTGGCGACAAGGGGGATGAAGCTACAGAATGGCTAACCGATCGAACCCTAAATCCGGCGACCCCCAGCTCCTTGAAGGCCGAACAGGGGAGTACGCGGAGGCAACTGCAGACGCTTTCCTGGACGATTGGCTCAAGACCGACGCTGACCGTGCGCGAGATGCCGCCGCCGCCGCCGCCGCCGCCGCTGCTGCGGCGGGCGGGCAAATGCTTTCGCCGCACGACAACATCCCTCCCACCGATCGTACATTAGGTGCTGCGTCGACGGGTGCAGACGCTACGCGGCAAGGCGGGGTAGGTCGTCGCTTGTCAGCGACCCGCAACGGTTCAACTGCCCACGAGGACCACAAAAACAAGAGGCGCTCGAGTCATGACCGCGGCCATGGGAACGGACACTACACTCGACGGCGAAGCAGTGGAGGCAGGAAGATCCACATGAAGGGGCGCACACCGCGCGATTCTGCCGGGACTTCGAGCGCGGGCAGCAGCGATTCTGAAGGAGGCCCATCCAACGACCACGTGGCGGTACACGGGTTTTTGCGCGGGAGGCCTAGTGGTGTTGTTGGTGGGCAGCGTCGCCGAAACGCCGCCGTGGGGCCGATCTCCTCCCCAAACGGCACTGCTCCCGCCGCTCCCGCTGACAGCCAGCCGTCAGCAGCGGAGCATCACCACCATCGCAATCGTGCGGGCAAACATCGTGCGCCTAGCGAGCCGCTCGCTGGCGAACACCACAGGGAAAAAAGCGGAGAAGGCGGTTCGGACGGGAGACCAGCAGCACAACAACCTGAATCGATACCCCTCGGTCAAGTGGGACGAGAAGACGAGGAGCACGAAAGTTCGAGGGGGGCCAAAGACGACAGCGCACAACTTCGCGCTACAGTGGAGCGACTGGAACGCGAGCTAAGTTCCATGAAGGCCGGTACAAGGACGGGTGCGGGGGGCGTGGTGGGGGCTCAGGGTGAAGTCTTCGGATTGGCTGGAGGCAACGGGGGGGTTAGGTGGGGCCCGCCAACGGATCCAACGGCGGGCGCTCCATGGATGGCAGGCGGGATGGCAGGTGGCATCTCATGGGCCCCGTGCCTGATGGTGCCAATAGGGACCTGTGTGTGTTTCAGGAGACTTGGCCAACGCCTTCAATCGGCCAAAGACAGCAAGCATCACCCATCACCCACATTCGATCACCTGTTGGTACTAGCCTTGCGTTGAGTGCCTGTCCACCAGAGAAAACCTCCAACAGAAAAGTAATTCCTGACAAAGACCATGGTCTAAGGAGGAGACCACACCTCCCCCCTTGGCCCCTCGCTTTGATTTGTTCCGCGTTTTCGTGCTTTCGTTTTGGAAAGCTCCTGGCCTCCAGCAATACCTAGCCTCTCTCGACGCAGAAAACGCCCGTATGATGGCCGAAATCCACGTTCTGTCCAACGGTGGCGCGGGCGGCGGTGGGCAGCAGTTCGGCCTCACGGGCCTAGGGGGTGACGCCAACATGGGGCTGTCAACGATGTTCCCTGGAGCAGCAGGTACGACGACAGGGAAAGGGATGGCGGCGGCGGGGTACCTCGGCCCCGGCTTGCACGGAAACGGACGAGGTCCGCAGGTGGACGGGAGCGGAGAGCAAGGGGAGGGGGGCGGCGGTAGCGCGATCACCGCAGCTCGCAAGCGGAGTCGCGTGAACGGAGAAAATCAACGGGTTGGGCCAGAATGGGACGAGGAGCTTCAGGGGGCGGGCGGGGAGCCTCTTTCTCCTCGAAACAAGGAATACCGCCGGAAGATGATAGAAATGGACGCGGAACACAAGGTGTGGCGTTGGGGTAGCCCGGGTCTAGGGAAGCAGGCTTCGCATCTAGGTCGGACTCTCTCTCGGTTCTCATTGTGTGTATCTTATCCTCGGGAATGTTGTGACCCCGGAAGTTGCTTTCCCTGTCTTCGAAGACGAGGTGCTGGGTATTTGTCAGGACAGTTCAGAAATGAAAGTCAACAACGATGCCAATCGCACGGAAAAAGGGAAACAATTGGCATCATTCGTGAAGCGGTTTTCGTCCTGGTCCGACGACCTGTGCTTTCAATTTCTCTACGACCGTACTAGCCTGCGAATCAACTCAAAAAGTCTGTGTTTGGTGTGGGGGAACTGTTGTGGTCCGGATGCTGTTGTCAGGAAGCGGTTAAGCGGCTGGAGTTCGAAATGCAGAGGCTGGAACTGGAGCAGCAGCTAGAGGACATGCGCGAAAGGATGGCGAGGGAAAAGAAGACTCGCCAGCAGGACGTCGCCCACGAGCAGTGGGTCACGGAACAGAAGCGGAACCTGCAGGCGATCAAGATACAAAAGGTACAGCGAAGGACAGGTACAGCCTAGGTGCTCTCTCTGTCGGTCGTAGCAACTGTTGTCTCGTGGCACTACTGCTGTTTGGCGGGTGACGGCAGGCCACCTGAGGTATCGGACCGTGAGACAGAGGGCATCATGGCACCACTACCGCTATCTCGTTGATTGATCCACGCACTCGCTCGTCTAGGAGCGATACCTGTTGAAGCACGATGCGCTTAATGCCTTCGCAAAACCCAGATCAGCCCAAGGTGTCCTATTCTGAGCTACGACACAGACAAGAAGACCGTTCTGACGCATCATCAGCACTTTCGTTCTTTGCCGATATAGTCTATTGTAGTCGGCTGATAATGAACCTGCGCTCTCGATTGGTACTCGAAACGGCTGGACAGACTCTGGCGAAAGAGCGACAGCTGATAGAGGTGCAGCAGACGCTCACCGACGCCCGCGGAGGCGGGGCCGGCAACAGTGTCCTTTGCGGGGGCCGCCTCGCCGGAGGGGGATTCAGCGAAGTGGCGGCAGCGCTGCATGCCGCGGGTGGTTGGAGACCGGGGGTCGGGGGCATCGTGGAGAGACCGTACAACAAGGACCAGGGGTTCTGTGTGTTCTGGGACTATTTGACGGGGTTGCCAAAGAGGAGCGGGAGCAAGGTCATCGGGAAGGTCAGGAAGACTGCCCAATTTTCGCAAAATCGTGCACGTCAAAATATCGGCATGGGGGCAGCCTGTTGTTTGGCTTGGTACCTCACGCCGTCTTGCATGGCCTTGCCCAGATCAGCAATTTACTGTTGGCCGTAGTACGACACGCTTGAGCAACGCCTATCTGCCACTTCTGGCTTTGAACGTCCCTGCTCGTTTCTCTTCCCTCTGCTGCTGAGCAGCACAAAGTTGTCATCAATGTCGTTTCTTTCTCTTTCCCAACCCATGGATCGAGCATAGGTTCGACTGGCGTTTGGGCTGTACATTGGAAAGCGGCTTCACGGCAAGATGCACTCGACACCGTGGACGGACATAGAGCCGCGCACGGTCAAGAACGGCAACACCGGAAAAGCGGAAACCTTCTCGAAACTTGAAACTCGCAGCACGTTCCCAGGGTAACACATACAAAGTAGAACGCTTTTGTGACCGATGGGTGCTAAGCAGCTTGTAACTTAGTGCCACCTCAACGACTCTCGATTAGTTCCATTCCGGTATCGATGAAGCCGTATTGATTATCCATCTAGATGTTTGTTCAACAACCGTCGGTGATACCCATATTTCGCCTGTAGTCGTTCTTGTTGCAAGCTAATGTCCTGGAGGTTGTGGGAAGTGCTTGGTCCACGTGAACCGTCTACAGACTGTCCTAAAGATTTTCTGATGACGTTCACTCCATGTCCTCCCAATTGATATCTACGGTCCCACCGCCGCGTTCAGGATCCCCGTCCACCTGCAGACTAAGCTAGTGGTGGAACTGCAGTTCAAAGACGAGGCAGGGGTGCAGAGGAAGGGAGGGAAGGGGAACCTCGGGTAAGCTATTACCTCAAAACCCCTATGCCTCGTGTGATTAGTGTTCAGGAGGAGAATATTTCACTCCTGCAAAGTCGCAAGCAGTGCAGCGGTCGAAACCCTTGAAGGGGCCGGTCCACGGTGTTCCCGACGGCCGAGGCGTGTCACGCGTCATGAACACATTTGCGGGCTGACACGACAGCCTTACCGGACGAGACTCGGGGGATTATTGCCCAAAATAATTTGCTGCGTCTGTCGAGTGAGGCTTGTCAACCTCTGGCAGTGACGGGTCCTGCTTTGCGTACTACACTCGTAACACTTTTATTGTCATGCGTACAACTGGCCATTGATGTGTGGCACGAGCCCTCATTCGTTTTGGATGTTGACAACTTTTTCGTACACGTTGAACGCCAGGTGGGGTTGTGTTTACGTGTTCAAGCCCGAGAAAGGTAGTCCCCATCGCCTGACGCTCCGGGCTGGTCTAACGAGACTCACCCTGTTCCCGGGGAGCGTGGATCTGCGCATCGCGAACGTTAACGACGACAAGTCGGCCGTATCGCGATCGACCCCAACAGCAGCGTTCGTCAGGTATTGGAGGCCCAGACCGACGTAGGGAACACCAGGAATGAATCACACGCTGCCGTGAACCCAACCGTAATCCACCGACGTTGCGGTTCATGGTGTCGTCCTGGAATACAATCACCCATCATCAGGTCGTGGGTCGAAACTGGCGTGCTCGGGGACTTTAGTCAAGACGTGCCGGGTCAGGCTGGCTGATTAACCAAATTGAACAAAAGGGCCGTGGCCACAAACCGATGTTATCGCTACTTTCTGTCGAGACAAACGTTGGTGATGGGCCACATGTCCTTATAGCGTCAGTTGAACATTGCTTTGGTAAGTATTGACACGGTCGACGTTCCATGACGCGGGTTGATCGCAGATTCGGCACCAAAACGTTCGTATGTATCACCAGCATGAGTTTTCCCCAAAAACAACACCAACATGAACGGCGACAGCAATTTGAGCAACGACGACAAACCAGGCGACATAAACCAGGACCACACAACAAATGAGTGCTCTTTTGCTTGATGTTCGCAAATGTTAAGGTTAGTGCATGGGATGGACATGAACCCGGCGGCGGCATTCGTCGTAGACCCGGACACGCAGCACCTCTACGCAGCGTACGGCAGAGGAAACATTTCACAGATGGAGCGGCAGAAATTTATGGCAGGTGCTTGCGCGGGGCAACAAGGCCCACCGAGAGGATCGTGCCTGAAGTTCGTTCGTAGTTATGATGCCCTTTTCCATTTCAAATCGTTTCCCCGAGGCGACAACCGTCCACTATCTGCTGTACTTTTTGGATCCTATTTTTTCCGTGTAACCAAAGCTCTATCTGTGAATGTAACGTCGGTTTGTCGACCGCCTATGATAGACGAAGGCACATCTTTGGAGAGAAACGCTTCACATCTGTGTTTGGCCACACCGTTCGTGGTAGGTAGGCAGATATTGTCATCAACGACCGGCGTGAATGACGTCTGGGCCTCTAGCAAAAGGTGGCGTCCGTACAAACTCACGAGGTGACATATTGTCATACAATATGAAGAATGAGATACACGACAGCTAGACTATAGCACGTACACTCCGCCAACGGCAAGGGTACAAGGTACCGCGATATAGCCAGCGTCTGCGACTGGGCGGTACCGTTCGGAGTCGACCCTCCGTACAAAACTGAGACACGCGATTGCGTGTCGAACACATACATATGGACACCAATGATCGCTCTTGCACTTGCATCGGTGCAGGGACATTCTTGCGAGCGATTCTGGCACTAGGCAAGTTCAAGCGTGCCCTCGTGACGGGCAAGCGGACAAGAGCGTCAGGAGGGGACGCGGCGAAGGACCATCCTCCGTTGCGGAGAGGATCGAGCAGTCTGTTGCCGCGGGGATCGACCAGGCATGTGAAGAACCTAACCAATCCCGACACCTTCAGCTGGTTTCCTCACCCGATGAGGGCATTGGTAGGCAACGCCACCTCTAGAATGTGATACAGCTTCATCGCTTCACCTTGGACGGGAAAACCACCGCGTTCAAATGAATGCGGTATACGGGGATTGTTCTGTTTGCCTTGTTCTGCGATGCTGAACCTTCGTCCAGACTAGATTGAACGATCCGGAAACATCTGACGTGCCGATAGCGCGAAAAGGAAAAGTAGTCAATGCTTGTGCCTGTTCCGGACAGATCTCATCGTCCCTGGGATACAAGAAGACACAATGTCTCCGTGGAACACTCACAGAATATTGGAGGAAACCAGGGAAACGAGTGGCCTGAAGACGGGAGAGAGAGTCGAACGGATATTGGCGCATGTTCTCCTGCACAATTCTTGGCCAATCTTTTGAAATTATGCAGCAATGACCCCACGCCAGGATCTTCCGTCCGCTGTCTCGTTGTTCGCTCGATTCGCACCCGAAAAAATGCTACCAAACACTTGCAGACGGACTTCGTTCAAGCCCCCCAGAGCTGGTAAATTCTCGTCGGAGACCACATCCGAACCTCAAGCAGCCGGCGGCGCAGGTAATGGAACATCCTAAAGTTGGTTCGCGGACGGAGGTGGCATGCGGCACGATGCATCACTCGGTTGTCCTCGACACTTTCGAGGCGAACAAGCGCAGCATGGTTTACCGAAATCTCTATTGAGCTACATGTGTACCCGCGAGAAAGGGATTTTGTTTTCTCTTCTGTTTGCCTGACATGAGGAGCCCCCCTGACATGAGCTGCCCGCCCGAACAAACACAAGAAGTATCACTGCAACGACAGCGACGGCAATATTCACACTATTGGATGTAGAGCGCCGTTACCGTAACTAGCGAATGCGTCATATTCGGCCTCGAGGTTCCCGTCACGTGCAGACCTCAAGCGCATTGCGTGGGTACACTGAAAAGAGGGAGGGAGGGAGGGGAGAATCGGTTTTAGTCTTCCCAGCCTTTCGGCTAATTTTTCTGCAGGCGGGGACTTAAGGGATGTCTATTTCTCAATAGTTGCGGACCACAGGGAGATGATTGTGCGTTGCACTGGCGTTCTTTGAAACATGTTGTTCTCCCGCAAAGCACCTGGTGCGTCACCACATGTCCGCGTGGCGCAGCAACTTGCTTCGCTCAAACGAAGCTCCGGTCCGTGGCTGAGACTCCTACGTCCCTGGTACACCTAGGTCTGGTAGACGGGGGGGAGCCCGAAGTGGAATTTTGCCTTGTCGAAATCACGTTTTCGTGGGCACCCTCTTGAGTGTGTTGCCGTTGTCGCTGTGTTTCCATACCGACAACGTGTTTTGTTGGTGGTGAAAGATGGCACCGACGCAGGGGACGGGGAAGTAGCCAAGCAACCGAAAACCGACAAGCAGCAGGCGCCGGAGCCGAACGAAAAACGGTCGGAGAGCCCAAAGAGCGAGGAAAGAGATTCCGTTGAGGAGGAAGATTCGGAAGAAGATTCTGGAAGTGCGGAGGGCAGCGGAAGTGAGACGAAGGAGCGGCGGCGAAGCAGCCTGTCGGTGAGGAAAAACCTAGACGGCGAAACATTGTCGGCGTTTCGTTAGGTGGGTGATGAGTGCTCGTTTTCCATCCCTGTTGATTCAGCACTGTCGATTTTTCCCCTTTGCGTGACTAGACAGCCAACTCAGCATGCTGGCGACCTTGGCAATGCCCCGAGATTGATTGTTGGCACCGGAAAAAGCACCAGTTTTGTATAGAGACTTCTCGCACGTTGTCCCTTTTTACTTGTCTGGCGCTGTCGAAACCCAGTCTATCCAATCGCAACTGGCGGGACAGAAGACAATGGCGAGAAGAGCAAGCCTCAGCAAGCGCCGGCAGAGCACGGTGAGTTTTGGCTACGATCCTAAAATATCTGTTTGAGATCGAAAGAGCTAGCCGCCAGGAAACGCTCAGAAACAAAAATGAGGAGGGAACATTTGGCCAAGGTTGAGACTGTGGGCCTTCCTGACATTGAGAGTACGAGATACCTTGCCGGCTTTCCAAGGATGTTGTTCGTGGGTCGGCCGCAACCCTGATACTAGGCCACACAATGAATAGTTGGAACACAAATTTAATGCACCAGAAGCAGATGTTCCGGGATGGTGTGCCGTGGGAGTGCCATGACCTGACGTAGTGTCGTAGGTGTCACAGTCCGGGGAAATGCACCCAGCACCACCCACCCTAGCTTGGATGATCTTTGTACTTCGTTTTGCAGTCACGTTCAGAGCCCAGCTGGCGCAATGTCAGATTTTCTCTTCATTTTTTTTATATATGACGCAGCGAATACGTCTTGATCCACGGATGAGGGTCCAGGATAATGATATATTGGCAATGAGCCTTAGCACCAGGAGCACTACCAGTGTTTCTACGGTTCCCCGAGCAGCACACAGAGGTTGTCCCCTGTGGGTAACAGGCTCTACAAGACAGTTTATGGCCGTTTTGTGCAACACGTTCCGCCGGGGTTGCCCGGAAACACACCCTCCCCCGCGTGTGTAACCAGGTAAGCAGACAGCCGTTCCTAAAGGGTGACGGCTTCGACATATATATTGACCGGGCCTGCGGCATGCCGTACTCTTGCACCATCTCGAAAGTCGTGGTCAGGGTCATCGGGGACGTGGGAAACGAGGTATGACATGAAGCACGGCAAGGGTCAGCATGTGCCACAGTAAACGTCCACTATTCCGACCTTCTGCACGTAGTGTGTAAACACAAACATCCCTGATTCCGTATTTGCAGAGGTGCCGACCTGTCCACAACCCTACCCATCCCGAACTCGGCGATACTATGTGGTGCATCTAGCCTAGCCGAATTGTCGTGCCTACAGGGGGGGGGGGGGGGGGGGGG